GTCTCAACTATTTGTTCACAGATTTGAGAGTGAATGTCTTTTAGAAGGTGTTAATTAACCTATTCCAGCACTGGACAATCTTTTTGATTGTTTACCTTCTGGAGAAGAGGTTACAGATTTTACCGACCTTATTTTCATCTTCTACTCTAGGGTAAATTTACAATTTCAATACGCTTTTGGTCAGGTTAGTGACAACTCACTTTCAAGGTTATTTCCACTTCAGGGGCATGTGTGTGTGTGTGTGTGTGTGTGTGTGTGTATGTGCGTGTGTTGGAGGTGGCAAGTGGTTGGAATGTGAGCAACTAGATCTTAACATTTCCCTCAGCTTGACCACACTCATGACAGGCTGCTGCTGCTGCTGCTTCCTTCTTTCTTCTTTCCTCCTTCTTCTTCCTCTTCTTCCTCCTCCTCCTGCTCCTCTTCCTCCTCCTACTTTTTAAAATCAGGAATGCTTTTGGAGAAAGAATAGACAGGCTTCCAGACTCAAAGCCTGCCTCAATTCAGTTTTATATACCAGGATGGTCTTTCCCAAGGATGATGGAGTCGTCCCTTTAGAATGCAGTCATCAAGGAAGATAGTGTCCCTATCTCCTAGTCTCTTGCTGGGGAGAGAGGAATTTCAGTGGATTCCTTCCTCCCTGTCATGTCATGAAGACAATGACAAACGTATTTGGAGCGGGAGAGGAGAAGGAAGAGGATTTGCTTAGGCATTGAATTTAAGTATTAAAGTCTTAATTCTTCCCTCCTTCTCTTCCCTTAGCCAATTATGTCTACTTATTCCCCTGTGAGGTAACCTATCCTTTCTTTTGTGATAATCATCCCCTGAATTTTCATAGTTATTAGAATCACACTATAGTTTTTATCCACATATTTGTAAAACTCATTCATATTGACATGTATAGCTCTCGTTTGTTCATTTTTATTGTTTCATATTATTCTGTTGCATTAATATACTGTACAATAGTTACCTATTTTATTATTGATGTTTGGGTTGTTTTGAGTTTGGGGCTATAAAGAATGATACCAATATAAGTATGCTTGCAAGGATAATATCAAAAATATTTAATGATGGGTAAGGCAAAGTCACATACCAATCATAACAGTTGCCAAACCCATCTGAGTGGAAGCTTGGACGTGTCTCCTGGTGCACATTTTCCAAAATTTTTCTGATATCTATATCTAGGAATGGAATTATTGAATTATAAGGCATTTACTTTGTAGAGGCATTTAAATTTACAAGGTGATTTCAAGCTATTTTTAAAAAGGGTTGTACCAATTTATGCTTATATCGGTTTATACTTACATGAGAATTATTAATACATTGCCAATATTTAAGTTCCCTAGAATATATTTTTGCCAATGTAATGTGCATATGATGTCTCACTGTAGCTTAAACTGAAATTAACCTGAAACTAATGAGGTTGGGCATCCATGCATGCTTATTAATCATTTGAATTTATTTGTCCTCTGATATATTTGTGTATTCTTGACAGTAGTCCTTTTAAAATTGCTTTAGATAACAAATATCTTTCTGAATTTTGTGGCTTTTCTTATCAATATTTTTATAATTTATGAGAAACAGAAGTCTTTATTTTTGTGTAGTTGCGTTTATCAGATTTGCCTTTCGATTAGTATTTTTCTGTCTTAAGAATGTTTTTATAACCCGAGTTTATAAAGTTTTTTCTGTATTCTAAGTGTTTTATAAATTTGACTTTCACATTGAAGTTTTAAAATTAAATGCAATTTATTTTTGCTAATTGTGTGAGATAATATCCAGTTTTATCTTTTCAAGTAGTTAATCGACCCACACTAGTCATTAAAAGTTCATGATTTTATCCAGATCTATTTTGCCTCCTCTGATACATATATATTTGTGTGTTAGTCTGCTGATCTCACTATTTTGTTCTATTGTTCAATTTATCTATCCTGTGTTAGTACTATACTCTTTTAACTTTGGTACTTTTTAAAAATTATTCCTTAGGATTGTCTAGAGTGTAACTTGTCTACTTTTATGAGTGTTAATAACTATTAGAAAATAGTTTTCAAACTTGGTCTTCCTCTTCAAGTATGCTTTGACTTTCTTGGCATTTTGTGCATCAACATAAATTTGTAATCTTCTTGTGAAATTCCACATATATTTAAAAATGTGGTTGCATTGGGCTGGGTGTGGTGGCTCATACCTGTAATTCCAGCACTTTGGGAGGCCGAGGCAAGTGGATCACAAGGTCAAGAGTTCGAAATCAGCCTGACCAACATAGTGAAACCCCGTCTCTACTAAAAATACAAAAATTAGCCGAGTGTAGTGGTATGCACCTGTAATCCCAGCTACTCGGGGGGCTGGGGCAGGAGAATCGCTTGAACCCAGGAGACGGAGGTTGCAGTGAGCTGAGATCGCACCACTGCATTCCAGCCTGGGCGACAGGGCGAGACTCTGTCTCAATAAAAAGAAAGAAAAAAGAAAAATGTGGTTACATTGAATACCTGCATTTGTTGCATTTGTGATTTGGGAAGGGTTGAGTATCACTACAATATTCAACTTTTTCAATCAGTGAACATGGTATTCAGGTCTTATTTAATATATTATCTGAATAAGATTCTCTGTAGAGGTCTTTAACTTCTTTGTTAATGTATTCCTAAGGATTTGATACCTTTGATGCTAATAAAAATTATCTTTTAACAATTTCATTTGTATCTAGTAGAACTGACAAATTCACTTGTATATTCTAAAGAAAATTGTTGAGTGTTTGCATTTTCTATGCATAAAGACATATAATCTATAAATAATTATAATTTTCTTTTCTTTTCTACTTCTGGTTAATATATTTGTATTTTTTTCCATGCCTTGATACATGACTGGGATATTTGATGCAATATTAAATAGAAATGATACAATAGGTATACTTGTTTTGTTTCTGGTCTCAAAAGAAAAGTCATTCACCAACAAGTTTTATACATAGATACAATTCATTAGATTTAAAGAGTACTATTCCATTCCAAGTGTGCTATGAAGTTTTTATTGCGAATGAATTTTTAATTTCATCAAATATATCACAGTACCTTATCATTCTTATACTTTAGTATATTAATGTGGTAGACTTCATTAATTTATTTACCAATATTAAAATACTCTTATGCAAATAGTATAATTTAACTTGATCATGATTCTTATCATTTTTATACATTGCTGGATTGGTTTTGTTCATTATTGGTTAGATATCTTGGCATCCATGAACATTTCTCATATCTGATTATGGTAACTTGGTTTTCTTTTGATTGGCATGGATTTTTTCATTTAATTAATCTTTTCAAATACTCAAATTTTGGAAGATTGTTTTCTTATAAATAATCCATGAAATTCTTCCTTCATTTCATAAATAATAAAATGAAAAATATAATACAAAAAAGTAAAAATATCAAAATTAAAAAAATTAAATTTGTTTGGAGTTGTTAGTTATACAAGAAGGAAAGATTTCAATATTTTTGCAATTATAGTTTTATCACTATCTTTTAATAGATAACTATTTTGTCTCAGTCTTCAAGATCTTTAGACTGTAGTTTGAGGCATTTTCAGTTTTTAATACCTAGAAAATAAATAGTCAAAAACCTGAACTTGGTAATCATTCATCTATTTATAACTCTTTAGACCTGGCATTTCTTAAGAAAACCTCCAAGATACACTTCACCTAAGAATGCCCTTAAAAGTTTACCAGAAGTATATTACATAAAATTTGATCAATCAGTATCAATACATTCCTAAATTTAATTATTGCAGAGAGATGGATAGATAAAAAATAAAAATTTAAAGCAACTAGTTTTTTACACTGTTTTAAGGTTAAAAAATGATAGATAACTTACTTGTTATAGCAAGAGAGTATCAAAGAATGTAGTAAACATGTAAGCCCCCTCAGACATGCCTTAACTGGCCAAAAAGGGTAAATCTGAGCATTAATATGAATAATAGCTTCAAAGAATTATATTAAATATGTTTCAATCTTTGGTTTTATAATGACATTAAAAGTAAAAACAAAAAGGAATTCATTATTTTTGGAGGATGGTAGGGAACTATCTATTATTTTGAAATATGGTAAACGAATAAAGGGAAATTGTCCAGCTTTCTCTGCCTTTATCCTAGATTTCTTGTACAGACTATACCATGGGGTAACCAAATATTGACTCAAAAGAAGTTTATCTTTTTCTAAATATTTCAAGAAGAAATAATGATTGATATATAATATTATCATTTTGCAACATTTAATTAATTAATAAATATATTTTAGGGTTTCAGCATCAGTGGCCACAAGCAGGACAAAGTAAGAGACCACCAGACATATGTGCCTCCCAGTACAGGAATACAAGACCAACCTGTGACAAAGAAATTGAACATGATTTGGACCAGGCATATAGAAAAAAATACCAATGTACAAGTAACGCAGAGGCAGAGAAACTTGTTAACTGCACTATAGTATGCAATGAGCAAAACCCAGTTTGCAAGGAATCTTACAGGTGCAAAGACCAAGTGGTTTTTTTTTTTTTTTTTTTGAGAGACTCACTGAAAAAGAAGGAAGGGGTAGGAGAATATGTAAATTAAAAGACTCTTAGAAAAATATTAAAAATAGAACATGACAACTACACTAGTGTTTTGTGGGCTGTGTGAGTGATAAATCAAGAAACTGTTATCATTAAATCAGGATAGTGTTACATTTAGAAGGGTGGGAGTGAGTTGTGATAGAGATGGGTTAAATGGAAGACTTATGAGATGGCTGGCAAAGTTCAATTTTTTGGCCTGGGTGGTGGTTATAAGAATGTCTGACATCTGATCATTTATGAAGCTATGCATTTGTTTAATTCTGTTTTCTGTAACTCTGCTATATTTACAATACAATTTTAAAACTGGGCAAGTGAATATATTTACAATACAATTTTCAGAGAAGATGTCCTGAAAAGTTTTATCTTTATATTAAAGATGAATTTATCAAGTTGATAAACACAAGAAGTCAAAGGTGATATTTTCAATATTTATTAGTAAGGCTGAGGCAACAGCCTTTATACGGCACAATTTACATAAGTTATCAAGATACATCTTGTATACAATCACAAAACCAAGACATATTTTTACATAGAGTAAAACTCAAGATGGATTTACAAGCATTTTTTTTTTTTTAAATACAACTCTCATGTTATTTTCAGGTCAATTTATACAGTCCTTAGTCCAAGAATTTGCATTTGTCTATTAGATTTTCCAAAGGGATTTGGGTAAAACAAACAAAAAAACACATTAGCAAATCACCAACATGGCATGCAACATATAGTCAGAAACAAGACATATCTTCAAGTACTTTAGTTTTTATTTCAAAATCAGTTTTATTAAGGTGTTTATGTTTTCAGACAAGAAAATTTTTTCTTAAACCTCATATGTGTTGTTAGGATATTAGCACACACATTAATCAGTAGTGGGAGCACCTGAGCACGTCACCTAACAAATATACAGACACAATCAAACAATAATCATATTCACATGCTGAATGCCAAATGAAATGAACATTTCAACTTGGTCTACTTTACCAAATGTATACTTATGTACAAGGTAATGAATTAAGAAAATGCTCTCAATCTACCTATCAGATAAAGAATTTGATTAAATAATTTTGGCTTAATGGATACCTTTAATAATAGAACATGAAACATACAGAAAACAGCACTGTATCATATTCAATGAGAATATTTGTTTCACTCATTCATTATTGTACTATACCCAAGGTAAGTAATTATTAAATAAATAGCTCATAATTATTCATTGAGTCTTCTTTCACTTTCATTTCAAGCTCAAAAAGAGGGAAGGAAGATCACTTCTATCACACATAACACATATATAGCTGTAGTTGGCTGATTTTGGAATATTTGACATTGTAGCAATGAAAATAAGTTTTTAAAAATATTGTTATGATTTAAATAATAAAGTAAAAAAATACTATAAACATCTTTATGATATTTTGATGAAATGAAGCATTGATCAAATAATTTCTAATAAATTGGGCACAATATAATATATAATTTTATTTTACTTCACATCACCACCACCGCTAATATCACTACTGCTACCACCACTATCATTACAGTCATTCCTATAATAAGAATCAATATCAGCTGGTTACCAGCTATAATATTCCCACAATATGACTATTTAAATGTGTGTGATCCACAAAATTAATTCCACTGGTATGCTGAAAATATGCATTTAATTAGTGTAATTTGTTAAAATATGGGCAATATTAAGGAATAAAGACAATTGATGCCCCTTAGTCTTGATATTTTAAACTGAAATATAAATAAAGGGTTCAGAGTCACCAAAAATCTCCTTAATCTTAAGTAAAAACAGGGAAAACACCAACTTCTTGCTACTAGGGTTATTTGTGTCTGTAATGACTATTCTATCTTCCCTGTCTTTTGTAAAAATTCACTCTGTGCTTTTGTTTCTACAGCTGAAAGTTTCCTTAGGACCAATTTTTAAACCAAGAAGCAACATCAGTCTCTGATGACTCAATGAAATTGTGGGAAAAATTGAGATGCTCTTCAAGGTAAAAGTGCTGTAATTGGAGTAATTACGTATTATATAGAGATTACAAACTCTGTCAGTATTAGAATAAAAAAAAGTTAGTTCCAATAAAATGAAATAAACTAAAGAGTGAAAAACCATGTACTGTGATATGTACAAAAAAGTAAAAAACACCAAGAGCCCTATTTGCAATAAAAAAGAAACAGTTTTGTTGTAAGAAGGGTAATCGACATCATTCAGAAGAAACGCATTCATATAAGGATCAGTGTTGCATAGAATAATTCCAGTACAACCTAGAAGTTTGGTCAGCTTCAAACTTGGCACACTGGCAGGATCTTATGCTCTCTGAAGGGGAATGCTGGTGCACAAAAAGAAGCCCTGTTGTCAGCTCTGCTGATTGACCTAGCCCCATCACTAGTTCCTTGGAACGGAGGGGCTTCTATAATGGAAGGACTCCTACTCTTTCAGGTTAAATAGCTACCAAAGAGATAATCTTTGTTTTGGTGATCCCTCCATTTATATTGTTCTAAAAGAAATTGCAACTGGAATGAAGAAAACTAACTGGTTATACAAACTCTCATGCATACCTCTGGATATGAGTGGCTGCAAAAGAGGATCAGGGATGAGTCAGGGTTTTCTTTTAAGGGCAAATATCAGAGCCTTTTTATGTCAGAAGGAGATCTTCTTGGACCTTTTCTTCCCCAATTATGAGTGATGATTATAGGCTTCTTCAAGTGCTAGTTTCCGCTGGAAATATCCATGGCAACCATCAGCAGATCTAATAGTTTCTAAAAATAAAATACTAGCAATATAATGTTTTTGATGATTCCACTCTCCCATGCTCATTTTAGAGCAATGCCAATGGTAAATGACATTGTACTGTCAGTGGAGGGGGATTAAAAAATAGAGGGAAGAAAAGTTATGGTTATCTTTCTCAGTTTGCAGAAGAGTGAATTTATATTCTGAGTGAATTTATATATATAAAAAAAACTGATTTCTTTAAAAATGAGAAAATTCAATATCCAACCAATATCTAGAGATGGGTTTCTCTAATCCCACTAACACTTCACCATTAAATAAAGCAGAAAGTTTTAAGTTCAGAATGCTCTAAGAAGCAATTTGATTTATTTATTTTGGGTAGAATGTAGGAATTGGGTAAGACCAGCATTATTCATTTAATTGAGGATAACAAAATTTGCAAATCTTTTTCATGTAATTCTTCACGTTTATTCAGGTTAAAGTTTATATTTTAAATAAAAAATAAGTTTTGCAGCTAATTTACTGCTTTTATCCATGTCAATCCTTGCCATTGGTTTAGATGATGGTTTCCACATATAAAATTTGAGAATTAAAAAGCTATGTAATAATTATTCCTCACTTCTGTGTATAAAACTATATTTGGAAATGTGCTTTCATCTCTCATGGATCATTGATTTATCATCACAACATCTCATTTGGAAGGTTAAGGATATATAATTATTTTTATCCTACAGATAAGAAAACTGGGGTAAAGTGAGTTTAAGTGACATGTGCAAGGTGACATAGTCAGTGGCAGAACTAAGACCAGAAGACAGGCTTTTATTCCCTGCTGAGTGTGTTTTCCACAACTTTCACGTTACTTCCTTAATTAATAATGCTAATAGAGAAGAGGGTGCTTGATTTTAAGACTTGGACATTAGTTGTTTTATTCATTATTATTAAAATAGCTCAAAGTATATTTTAATCTCCAGTAAGTGTTGACTTTTCACATATTTTCCCAACATTGATGAACTTGATCACTGTGATATTGTCACTAAAGTAAGAAAATAGAGCACTAGAAAGAACTCATTTAGTGTCATGTTTTCATGATACAATCAGTAAATGAATTAACTCATTAAGGAAAAGAAAGGGTAAAATATTATGAAATGAGGAAATGATATCCATTTAATTAATCAGTATCACAAGATTAATATAGTTCGTTTGCCAGAGAAAGAATTTTCTTTCTCTGTCAATGCATCACGCAAGAGAAAGGAAATGTGCAGGATAATACATTTATTTGCAGTTTCACAAAGAGTAAGTTATCATGCTTCCTAGAACATATCAGTTTACTCTAGGTCCTTTGGTACATAGATTGAAGATGTCTTGGCTTAATGGTAAATTATGAAGATTTTGATGGTTTCAAACAAAATTCCAATATTTTATGGGACAACATTCTTCTTTGTTAGCCAGTCACAGTTTTATTTCTAGATAAATTCAATTTTATTTTTACCTAGTATTATCTTCACTCTACATTATTTCAAGTTACACTGAAACAAATGTGCTTTTACCACATGGATTCCAAAGTCAGTGTTGTATACCCTTGTAACATTTAGACACACAGAAAACTGGTAAGATACGGCCTAAAAGGCATAATTTGTACATCTCCTATTCCATTTTCCCTAAGAACATAGCCACCTCACTTCCAGTCCTGGACACATATTGTAGGTATATCTTATGTCCGAATCTGAAAGCATCTGGTTGTCTGAATAGAAGATGATGAAGGAAGATTTTTGAAGTTTTGAAAACTGAGATTTGTTACATCAGTTCTTTCCTTTCAACCAAGGCTTCTTTGCATAAAGAATTACCTTTGTGCTACATGGAAACCACATTAATCTTTGAGCCTCTGTCTTAAGGTATAGCTCAACTCTGCTCAAAGATTTTTGCCTTAAGTAATCAAAATTTGTTTCACAGTTTCTCTTCACAGCCATGGGAAATTCAAGGTCTCAGAACTCCATTCCTTTTTATTTTCAATATGTGAACTTTTTCAATCGAATATCTTTGTGTGATACATACACAACAATAAATGTACAAGGTATTAAGCATGTTTTTGCCTGTTGTTCCCATTCTTACATTTGCCTCTCAAAACTTAGCTTAGTTTCCAACTGTAGTCTTGATGTGAGGCTATTTAGAGCAGTTTCTATACCCTGAGAAGACGTGTTTCTTCAATGCGTTTGAGTAGGACTGACCAAAAGTTTGTGCCAATTGACTATTCTTTTTCTGAGATCCACTTTGTCAAGCCAGATACAGGCTTCACCAATTAAGGTCTTTTTCATAAACTTCCCTCCATTGGAGAAAAGTAAAATCTAGAAAAAATAGTCAAAAATAAACATATTTAATTTATATACGTATATATGTGTACAGTTTTCAACCTCTTTTAAGAACATTTAATCATCAAAAAAATAGCACAAAAGAGGGTGACGCTGAGTAGAAGTAGCAGATATACTTGCAGGAGAACTAATAATCAAGGTGTTCTCTAAAGATTTGCATGTAATATAAATTAATTCACATCAACATTTGTATTATTCTGCAAAGGAAAAGACACATTCTGAAGAAAATGAGAATACTAGGTAAGAAATGTATAACCAGCCAATTCTAAGTTTATGCTTAAATTGATGGAGAGTTTCACAAAATAACTTTGCCAAATAATTTTTTACTAGTTTACACAAAGCCAAATCAAATAAAAGATTATCTGAATTCTGAACAAATAAATATAACTTCACCGGGCATTGTTTTTATTTAGTGTTAAATTTTCTGATGATTTTACTACAGTATGTACTTCCAAACTGCTTTTTGAAGTCATATGCAGAACTTATCACAAGGGTCTCAAACTAAAGAATTTTTTTTTTCATTTTAAAGATGAGTTGAAGGAAAGGTAGAGAGCATTCAGAGGAGCTAAGCATTAATCCTTGTAATTGTATTCTCTTTTTCTCTTCAGAATCTCCTTTGGTTATATAATTTACCCTTATTCCTGGCTAAAACTTAACTTTTATGCTTCTGACTTCAAAATTTGTACATCCAGATATGACTGTCTCTTCTGATTTCTGATTCAGGGATTTCAAATGACATTGTGTATTTTCACTTGAATCTCTGCCTTCTTATCAAATTCATTTCAGAAAAACTCTTGATCTTTCTCTATTCCAAATCCCCTGACTACGTAATCTCTGTGAAATAATACATTTGTTGACACAGACTTCAGAGTGTCATTTTTCTTTATTCCTTTCTAGTCTAATATCAGTTAATCTTCTCAATACATTTTTGCTTTGTAATATCTTTTATCTTTGTCTCTAATTCAAACCTTTAATTTCCTGTACCATGGTCTCTTCCTACATTTTTTTCTCTTTTCTCATTCCCCCATTTCTACTTTCATTCCTTGTCTCTATATCTCCTGAAAACCTACTATGTGCAAAGCATTGTGTCAGCTGTAGGCAATGAAAATTAGGCCTTGCCCTAGAGAAACTGATAGCATAGAAGCAATGACAGATAAGTACAGATATTGTTGTTACAAGACAGACTGAAATTGGTAACCTAATAATAGAAGCAAAATGTTTTGTGAATACAGTATGATGAATGATACCCAGGGTCATCAGTAAGGAGAGATGAAAGATGTGGAGTATTGTAATAGATGGTGAGAGTTGGAAAAGGGAGCTTTGAAGGGCGGAAAAATATGAGCAAAGGATTGGAGGCTTAACATGACTTGAAGAGAGTCTGTTGTGACTGGAGTATTGAGTGGAAAAGTATCCAAGGAGCTGAGACTAAGTCAGTCCAATTAAAACTCACTTTGGAAGACTCTGAATGATTCAAGATAATGATTCAAGATAATTGAAGACCTTTAATGTAAACTAACAAGTTTAATGTAAACTAACTAGGGTTTTAAAAGGTAACTCTGGCAGTGCTGTGATGAAATGAACTAAACGGATAAGACATAAATTACAATTGGCCAGGTAAACAGGTGAAATGATTTGAATAACAAAGATGGGGACCTAAAAATGTTTAGTGGCAGTGAGCATGGAAATAAGAGGAATCTATGTAAAATAAACTGCAGGCAGAGTAGAGAAGGCTTGGCAACTGATTGGATGAGGTGAATGGGCTGTGGAATTCTAAAAGACTCCTGGGGAGATACTGCTAAAAAATAATTAACTTCTCAAATGTCATATAGTGTATGATCAGTATATAAATATTGAATAATGGAATAAAAATAAATACAACATGAATGAGAAGTTTTACATATCAACTACATAATACAGAGTTACCTGAAGAGAATGTCCTGCAGGACTTAGACTGAATCGAAAAGTTTCATTGAATGAAGGCTCTCGATCATGTCTGCATACTCTTGTTTTTTTCTTGATCACCTTTTTTTGGGTAGAAATATTCATCACATATATTTTCACATATAAATCTGAAAATAAGAATTCAGCCTATTAAATTCCATCAATGGTATAAATTTCTATTGAAAGAATTATAACAGTATACTGAGAGTTCTTCCTACATTTTGTACCAAGCCAGCAGATTGTAAACAATTTGTTTCAGACAACATAAAATGATTAAAAGATATGCCTATTTATTATTTTTTTGAGACAGGGTCTTACTCTGTCACCAGTCTGGAATGCAGTGGCCAGATAGCTCACTTAACCTCAAACTACTAGGCTCAAGTGATCTCTCTGCTTTAGCCTTCTACATAGTGGGGACTACAGGCAGGAGCGACCACATCTAGCTGATATATCTATTTTCTTAGCAATTTAAATTTGTCCTTCTGTTGTCTAATGAATATAACATGCTAATGTATATGTTAAAATATCTAGCTAAAAACCGAAAGAAAACAACTTGTTACATATGTTAATCAGTTCTTTTTTCTGACCTATTTACTGTACAGTTCAAATTTTAGTTAACATTTTCCAGAATATATGACACATCCCTAAAAAATTCTAGATATATTGATGACTATAATAAAATTAGATACCTGGTAGATGATCAGGAGACTTAAATTTGTATGTAATATTTCTGCATTGGAGAATTTCAACTATTAGTTGTTCACCATCTGTCTTCATTTCCTTCTTCAGTGCAATCTTTATTTCTCCCATTACCTGAGTTTTAGCTGGGAGAATTTAATAAAAATGTAAAGAAGTATGTAATGCCATATATGAAATGTTTAGTTCAATAATTCATTCATACATTCATTTACTGTTTATCAAGTGCTAAATATCTTATGACATCCTAAGTGCTAAATATCTTATGACTGTATTTTATTCATCTGTGTACTTATTCACAGATGAATAAATTTATTCATGGATGAATAAAATACACAAAATTTATCACAGATTCATTTATTTAGATATGAATAAAATACAGTTCCATGCCCTTAAAGCCCTTAAAGAGTGAACAGTCAACTAGTCTATATTAGATGTTTAATAAACAAATTTGTGTTATTTCTCTAATCTTTCCAGCTGAGGTCATTGATGAGAGATATTTCGGATATATTTTTTCAAATCTAAGGTTTTACCCAGCTTAGTAGCATGGGACAAGCATGGGTTTTGATTTAGAGCTGATAAATTTCTTTCTTCCGAAAGAGGTGGAAATGATATTACCTTGTAGGACTGCTGGAAAAAGAGGATTCTAACATGGAAGGGAGGGAGTCAAGGAAAATTCTCTCTTGCTCTTTGGAGTCAATAGTAGTTGTGAATAGAATTGATCACACTAATGATCATGATGAAATAGAATAGCAAGACAAATTTTATCTGGGAGAAATTCACTTTTATAGGTCATAGTCTTCTGTTATAGACCTAAAATCTCAACACACCGCATATGTGAAATTTGTTGTTTTTCACCTTCTCACTTGGGGAGAAAAGTGTAATTAAAAACTTGCTAATTGAAGTTCTCAAGTAATCACATTGCTTGTTTCTTTCTTGGAACGCTTAACTTCACAGGCTTCACAGTGTGATACTTGTGAAATTTTTTTTAAAAGTTTCTCTCTGTTCAAAGATTGAACCAGCTTGTTCTTTGCTACTAAAGGAAAAAAGGACGTGCTTACTGAGGTTGTCTCAAAGCAGGTGGTTGCATTAATTGTGGGTCCATTGCTATCTCTTATATCTGACCTTTTATAGGTTTGTTATGTTTTTTTCTTTTGAAGCAAATACATAGATGGAGGCAAAATCCTCCATGTTTGCAGGTTGGGCGGCAGCTCCAGACCTGCTTGAGCCTTTGAACAAAACAAGCAAACAAACAAACAAACAAAAATCCATCACACACACAGAGGACATGTGATGATGTTTTATAATATGGTTTGGATAAAGAGTGAAATGGCATTAGAAAATGCTTTGACCAGCCTTCTGGTCTCCTGGTGTCCTGAAACTTATGCTTCTTTGGTTGTATTAAAAGAATAAAAATTAATCCTACTCTAGAGAAGGTATTTATCCTATAATGTGGCACAAATCTACAACTTAAGAACAGAGAGAAGGAGAAGAGGGAGGGATGGAGGATGTAGAAGTCATGGTTAAAAATGAAATGACAATATATGAGGTGAAAATGGAGATGCCAGATCTAAGGACACTAATAATCAAATTTTAAAACTATTAATGAAGTACAAACATCATGGAACAAAATAAGGTAAGATAGAAATTAAGATTATTGACACAGAGGAAAGAAAGAAGATAACATAGAGAACATAGAGAATAAAGGTAGAGAACAAAGATTGAGGTATAGAGAAGAAAACAATCATACGGTTAATGGTTTCTCAGGAAAAGTAAGTTCAATAGAATAGAAAATAATATCTATTTAAAAATATCAAATTATTTCTCCAAAATAACAGAAGAATAAATCTGCGAACCAAAAGAGCATCCTATATTCCTGGAAATATTGATGAGTTGATACACTGATATATCCCATTTCATATTATACTTCAAGAATATAGGAATCATTCTTAAAAGGATTCAGGAGAAAAAGAAATAAGCTCTCTGAAAGATATATTGATGTATAAAAGAAAGTCATTCTGAAATATATGACTATGGCAGAGGATACAGCAATGACTGAGTGAAAGAAAGAAGGAAAGAAAGGAAAAAAAGAGGGAGGAGGGAAAGGAGAAAGAGACAGGGAGGGAGGAAGGACTTGAAGATGAAATCCAGACAATTAATAAAATAATGAAAAAAGAAAGTGGAAGAGAACTAACTCACATTTTAAAACAGAGAATCAATTGATAGAATTTAAAATTAAAATATAGTATTAGGCTGGGCACGGTGGCTCATACCTGTAATCCCAGCACTTTGGGAGGCACAAGTGGATGGATCATTTGAGGACAGGAGTTCTAGACCAGCCTGGCCAACATAGCAAAAACCTGTCTTTACTAAAAATACAAAAATTAGCCAGGCATGGTGGCGCGAGCCTGTAATCCCAGCTCCTCGGGAAGCTGAGGCACGAGAGTCGCTTAAACTTGGGAGGCAGAGGTTTTAGTGAGCCAGGATCGTGCCACTGCACTCCAGCCTGGGTGACAGAGTTAGACTCTGTCTCAAAAAAAAAAAAAAAAAGTATTAAAATGTATAATTATTCAACCTCAATATTTTAAATTTTGTCTCGTAAACTTAGTGAAAATTTTAAATAAAGTAATATGGCTAAAATATTTATTGAAATTAACTCATTCATTTGTTCTTTCCTTAAAATATTTTATAAATTTAAAATATAATCATTTTTTGATGATGAACATGAATAATTTAATTCTACACTAACAAAATTGATTACTGCTTTCTCTTTAGCTAAAGTGTTTCTACTAATGTAATTGTCAAATTGGCTTATTTTTATCTTCCAGAGCATTTCTTAAATCACTTTCTGGTGCTTTACTCTCAATATATACAATGGCCTTCTCACTTTTGAATTTTCTCAGATAAAAAGTTTCTATATATTTTATCTTTGAAAAATATGTGTATGTGGTCTCTATACACATACATTTGTACACATACCTCTCTCTCTAGCTATCTAATTTGTATTTATAGAGAAATATATTTTAGGACAACATTACGATGAACAGAATACAATCTCATCATTTCATAAAAAGACATAGGTTGGTATAATTTCTATTTTACACATGAGTAAAAAGTGATTTGGGTATTTTAAGTAACTTGCCAAGTTGTTAAATGGCCCAGGCTGAATTTTAATCTAGGTCTTCTGATTTTAAGTCTGAGGCTCCATTCTCCCATGGCCACCTTAGATTTTCCGTGAATAAGATTGTGAAAACACTGACTTCATGGGAATATTCTCTTTAAAACATTTTTGTAACACAGTATCAGAATAAAAGAGTTTACAGAGGCTATTTTGCTCTTTGATTTTAGCCACATACTGGACTTTAGAAAGAGGAGATGGCATAGTAAGCAACTCTTTAAATTGTTTAAACAATGGAAGATGTCTTCCAGAAGTTATTGTCTACATAGGCACATTAGGTCAATTATGAAAATTGTCTAGATTAAACAATAAACACAGCAATACTATTTTTGAAATATTCTTCATCATGTGAAATTGCTAAAACATGAAAAGTGAATATTAATTGAGAAGATACTTCTTTTTTGTTACATTATTGGTATCTGTACCACTTAACTGGGCATAGTATAAAGTGAGTTTACTATCTCTCAGAATTCTAAGAATTCTATTGCAACCTCCGCAGCTTTTACCAGTGCAAGACCGTTTTAGGCAAAAGTCTCTCTAGAGGCAAGTTTTAAGTAACTGGAAATGAATACAATGTGGAAGAGAAAAGGAAAGAATGGTGCCTTGTAAAAGAAAAGTCTGTGTAAGAAAAAAAGCAAAGAGTGAATAAAATTCTCATCCCATTACACTGCGAAAATTTGTGAATTTTCACTAATAAATACCACACAGCAATGAGATAGGTCACTGGTGTTAGCTAATGAAGTCTGAATTGGTGTCTGATAAGATGGATATTTAGCCGTGACAGTCTATCACCTTATAATTTGTTACCTAGCTCCCATCACTTATTCCAAATCTATGAAAAGTCTAATGCAGAATTAAGACGGATTTTAAAAACCAGGAATTCTGGCTTCTAGCCCTGTGAGATGGCAGGCAAGTCATTAAATCTTCTGCTCTAAATAATTGTGTTGATTTACTTAGTTTTCAAACCCAGTCATTATGGAAAGTCTTATTAATGCCCAAATACCTGTTAATAGACAAAGTAGTGATGTATATTCCCTCATGTGCAATTTGATTTTCCTTCCTTTTATGGTTTCTAGTCTACCAGTTTCAAGCCTAGGTGATGAAAGTGATGAACAAATGCCAAAATTACAAAGGTAAACTGTTAGAACAAACCCTGAAATGATAATTACTCTATGAGCATTAACTCTTTTTATTTCTCCATATTCCCTTATTCTTTTTTAGAAAATTAGATTTTCAGTTGACAAATAACAATTCTAGATATTCATGGAGTACAATGTGATGTTTGATATGTGTTTACCATCTGGAATGTTTAAATCACGCTAAGAAATAAACCCATCATCTCATACAATTGTCTTTTTTCTTACAAAATTTTTGATATAATGGAAGACCGTTAGAAGCACTTGACAATTTATGCTTAGAAAACATTAGGTTAATTGCTCAGTTCATTCAGAGTAAACAAAAAACCAACAAGATCTTGTATTCAAATATTCGGTAGATTTTAATAGAAATTTCAAAAAAAAAAAAAAGGACATTTTTCACTTTGCTGAATCTATTAGAGAAAGTCAGCTCTCTATAATTTGTCCTATTCACTAGTCTTTCTGTATGATTTCCAATGAGGTGTATTAACATTACCCTGGGATCTATAATAATTTTACCTAATATGCTGAAATTGTATCTCTCCTCTAAAAGGTCAAAGGCCTTCTGACTCTGGTACTCAAGAATTATCTACAATTAGTGCTTTTCTTTTCTGTATACCATATCCTCGAGTAGCAAAGCAAGCTACTCGACTTAAAAAAAAAAAAAAAAAAAACAATTCTGATAATCTTATTTGCACTGGATTTTATCTTCTGGTGTATCGTTGTTTTACAAAGGCTGTATTAAAGCTGCTGATATGTTTTAAATTTAATTCCCAGATATATGTTTTCTGGACAAAGTTTCTTACCTCTACAG